CCACCCTCTATCACCCACAGAGCAGGGCCGATCAGGGGGTTGGTGCGCTGCACCCTGTCAAACACGGAGCCGCAGGGCAATCAGGGGATTGGGGAGCTCCCCCTATCAGGCACAGAGCAGGGCAGATCAGGGGGTTGGGGTGCCTTCCCTTGTCACGAACAGAGCAGGGCGGATAGGGAGGTTGTGGCCCCGCCCCCTGTCACACACAGAGCTGCAGGGCGATCAGGGGGTTTGGGCGCTGCCCCCTGTCACGCTGATCCCGGTTCCGGGAGCCTCGCTGCTCCGCTGATCCCGGTGCTGGGAGGCATATTACCCTTTTACTATATAGGATAGAGGCCTGGTGCATGGGTGGGGGCTGGCTGGTTTGCCCTGAAGGGTGTCCTGGATCAGGGTGGGGGTCCCCACTGGGGTGCCTGGCCAGTCTGGGTGAAGGGCTGAGGGCCGTTTTCAGGCTGGCGGGGGACTGAAGCTCCCAACCGCTCCTTTTTTTCTTTTATTCTGGGCCAGCTTTAGCTCTGAGGCCTCAGCTGCTGAAAGCAGGTTTCTGGCCTTTACCTTCTGTATTTGAAACACTGTTGTGGTCCTGCTGGCTGAAGCCTGGCTGACTAAAGCAGGTTTCTGGGGTTTGGTTTAGCTTCTATATATGTTACAATGTTTCTTAGAGTTGCAGCTCAGAGGCCGGCAAGGCAGTTGGGGAAGCTTGGCTTCCTCCGTCACTGAAGCAAGCAAGCCTTCCTGTTCGCGTCAGCTGCCTGGCTGCCGGCTGCCATCTTGGCTGGCAGTTAATTTGCATATTGCCCTGATTAGCCAATGGGAAGGGTAGCGGAGGTACGGCTAATTACATTTCTCTTTTATTAGATAGGATGGTGTATGTAAAATTCCCATCACTAAAATCTGAAGGTCACAAATAGCACACACCCAGTTAGTTATACTTAAAGTTTTGGTATTTTACTGTTGGTGAGACAGAACAAGGAATGAAAGTGTCTCCCTCCTCAATTATTCTCACCTATTTCCCAACCCACCCATCCAGTGTCATCATGAGCATAGTTTAAAAGTCCATTACCATTTAGTGTCTAGAATCTTAAACTGGAAAGACTCTAAAGGCCATTATAAGCGCAACACTATGAGTCCTATCTCTATCTCCCTAATAATAAACTATACTTTTTCCAATAATTTGGGGAGGATCCTTACAATCCAAGTCCCTTCTTCAGCTCTAATTCCTGGGATTTATTCTGAGTAAAACGAGGCTCTGTTGGCCTAGTTTTATTCAGACCCTGAGGAAAGAGGCATCTGGGAAAGCATCAGGGGAGAGGAGGTATCAAGGAAGAAAAACAGAACTGCAGGCCAGCTTTAGACTATTTAAAAATTTGCCATGTTCCAAAACATCTGCAATACTAGGAGTTTCCTAATTTCTTTCTAGAGAAAACCAGATTTATACTATACTTCTCTAGTCACTGATGTATTCTTGCCTGGAACGTAGCCTCTAAAGTCTTGACAATACTTGAAGTTAAAAAATTTCTTAGGGCTATACTGCTTAGCAATAAGGTAGGTAGGTAGACAGACAGATAGAAATAAATAAGTAAAATGGGTCCCTATTTAATGTTCATGGCTTTATTCCTAAGGTACTTGTTAAGCTGGTACATAAGTCTCTTTTACTTGAATCAGGCTTTAGAGGCCAATTAGACAAGACAGATGATCTGCCTATCATTTTAAAACAACAGTTACGTAAAAATTTAATATTTAAACAAATGATAAATATAAAATAGTACTTAAAGAACATATCTCTTTCAAAAGTTGAGGGCTTTTAATTTAACAGAAAAGAGAAATAATTTTTGATGAAAAAACCCAGGTGTTCAGTGCACAAATTTAATTTTCTCTCCAACAGCAGGATAAGGGAGACCCAAGGAAATCTCATACCCCATAATACAATGAAGAAACAATACTTTGAGAATTATCTTTAACTGAAGTTTCAAACAGAATAAGGAATACTGTACATAAACATATATATGAAGTCTACGAATCAAGCTGTGAAAGGGGACCTACAACTAGAAGATACAGTTTAAGAATAGGTTGAAAGCATTTGCTGAAAAAAAAATCATTATGAAGATTAAATGAGATAATGAATGTAAAGCTCTTAAAGAAAAGCATTTGATTTCTGCAATCTCTACAAATAAAATAATTTTAGGAGTAGAGATTTCTGCACTGGACTGTTACGATTAAGACCTAAAACTTTTATTAACAGCCTTTAGTAAAAAACAGTGCTGATTCCCTTGGCATATTATTTTTTTTGCTTATTTCCTTTTTCTTTCTCAAATGCAGCTATCTGATTAAATATATTGAGTAAATTTTGAGGTAAATTTTTTTTAGCTCCACTTTCTGAATGCTCTTTGCTACTTAGCTCTTCTTCTGGAGCCTCTGGTTTAATACTCTCCTCAAAATTATCCTCTCTTTCATATTCTCGATGACTTTTACTTAATTGATATCTTTGCTCATGTCTATTGAAATCACGTGATCCAGAATAATTACATTTTTTATATTTTTCAACTGACTTAGAAGAGTAGTCAGAGCTTGCTGGGGAAGTGGAATACCTCACGGAACCTGGCTCCCACTTTCTATAGTGCTCTTTTCTTCCATCTGAGTCTTTTTCAAATTTTCTATAACCATAATTTTTTAACTTGTCTTCTGGATTCCTAGAGAAGGAATCTGAGGAATCCCTTCTATTGGAAAAATGTCTTTCATATCTATATGACTTTTCTGTTTTGCTACTACCTGCCTGAGTTTTATAGCTATTATAAAAGTCTCTTGAATCTTCAGACCTACCTCCAAAATCATCCGGAATTTCAACTGAAGATGAAGAGACAGGGCATCTATCTTTCTCTTTTACCTGCTTCTTCTGATATGGTACCCTATCTTGCTTTTCCAGTAGTTTTTCCACTTCTTGTCTTTGGTTAAGAAAAGATGCTGAAGTATTGGCTGGAACTGGGAAGTACTCATCTTTCCTATTCTGATCTATCTGATTTGAGGATGCCTTAGCTGAATGCCTTTTGGAATTTCGAGAAGACTCTGAACGATTCCTCCTATGTTTCTTATGCTTTTTGTGACCAGAAGAGGAGGAGGATGAAGAAGAAGAAACTGATTCATCACCAGAAGAAACACTTGAAGAGGAAGAAGTTGACTTTCTTCTTTTTTTCTTTAGCCTAAAAAAGTAGTTAATTCATCAGATGTTAAGTACAAAAATGTTTCTTAATTATCCATAAAGCTTTTAGTTCTATTTTGTTCCCCTTAAAGATGTCATAAAAGCTGTGGCTTAGATAAGCAATTATAGTAATCTTAGTTACTGTCAGATCCACTTGTACCAGCAAGCGGTACTTTGGAAAAAAAAAATACTTGTGTAGACAGTTGTCACTCTAAGCAAATCCATTTCTGTTACACACAGTGACATTTCCAACATTACCTTAAAAACAAGACCTGCTGAACACATAAAGGAATTAAAATTTTATTTCTGACTACCTCTAGAGCATAGATAACCTCTCTACCTCAACACTACTGACATTTTGTTGGAAGTGTAGGCTGGGAGTGCGGGGGTGGAGGGGTCCTACAACACCACTATAGGGTGTCTAGCAGCACCCATGACCTCTGCCCCACTAGATGCCAATAGCACTCCACCAGTATGACAACCAGAAATGTCCCTTGGACAAAACTGCCCCCAGTTGAGACCACTGCTCTATTTCTAAAGCATTACTCCCTAAAATACAGATAATTAAAATAACATTATGTATTTTAAATTTAAGGTTACAGTAATTATTTTTTACCCTCAGATTTCTAGCCTTACAATTCCACTTTCCTTAACCTCTCAGAAAAATTTCTGGTACTCTTAATTGCTAAGAATAACTGATTATGGTTTGAAATACTTTTATATTTTTACTTACTTTACCTCTACATGGCACTGTGGTACAACTCAGTAGTTGCTTTAAGTAAAAAAATACTGAATGTTACAGTTTACCTTTTCTCCTCTTTTAAGAGCTTACGCAACTTTTCTGCACTTGTTTCTATTTTCTTTGTTTTCTGCTTTTCTTCCTTTTCAGCTTGTTTTTCTCTTAATTCCAAAGATTTCTTTTAGAACCCAGATATCGGAAAAAACCACACGTTAAAAATAGAAGAA